TAAGGGGGTGTGTGTGTGTATGCACACCACCACAGTTAAAATACAGAACAGTTCCCTCACCACTGGGATCCCTCTGTTGATGTTTTATAGCCACACACATTTCCTTCCCCAGACTCCTGTCTGTCCCTAGTCCCTGGCAACCACAAATCTGTTTTCTACTTCTATAATTTTTACTTCAATTAAATTACATAAATGGAATTATGTAATATGTACCTTTGTGGAACATCTTTTCAAATGCTTATTCGCCATCTGAATATTTCCTTTGGTTAGGTGTCTGTTCAGGCCTTTCGCCCATTTTTAAATTGGGTTGTGTGATTTTTTGCTGTTGAGTTTTAGGAGCTCTTTGCATGTTTTTGATAACAGTCCTTTATCAGATGTGTATCTTGCAAATGTTTTTCCCATTCTGTGGCTTGTCTTCTCATTCTCTTGATTCTACTGAGTTTTCAGATACTACCCCCTTCATTGGATATGTGGCTTGGAAATATTTCCTCCCTGTCTGTAGCTTACCTTTATATCTTCTTCATAGAATTTTTCATAGAGGAGTTTTTAATTTTGATGAGGACCAAATTATCCATTGAATTGTGCTTTTGGTGTCAAGCCTAAGAATTTTTTGCCTGGCCCTAAGTCCCAAAGAATTTCTCTTTATTGTAAGAGGTAACCAAAGGGGTGCTCTGAAAGGTGGAAAGAGGAAGGTGAACTGATTGGAAACTAAGGAGTGGAGGAACACCATGGCAGCATGGCTATGCTGTGTGGACAACCTTCCACCCACTCAGAGAAAGAGACTCACATCTGTGATTCCCAACATCAAATTTGCAATAGGAAGTGGCCCAGGAAGGCTCATGCCTCTGCTGGATGAAACAAGAGTTCCCCGAACAATGCCAAGAGGGATGGATCAGGAGATCCACTGACAAAAAGCTACAAGGGCAGTACTCTCCTCTACTGCAGGCTTGAGACCTTTCTCCTCCACAGAGAGGCACCAGAAGCTGGGCAGTATTGGCAAGCGGGGTTTTGCCATGGGAAGCCCCGTCTTCTCTGTCTTTTGGTCTCCAGGGATCTGAGATTCCTCTCTCCCACCCAGAGACATGGGTGGCAGGGTGGCCCCAGCAAGAGGGATCCTGCCCAGGAAGCACTCTTTATTTCCAAGGCATAGAAGGATCCCTTTCCACCTTTAGAGGAACCAGCCTAGGGAAATTCTTCATATCCCCTTAGGTAGCACCAGCAGGGTCCAGTGGGAGCCTCAGCAGCTCCAGAAAAACCAGGAAGACCAAAGTAGCACCACAAAGGCTGTGAAAATGAAATTAGCATTGCACCCACAGCCCACAAAACCAGCATACACACAAAACCTAAAAAGATAATCTCCAAACATAATAGCCAGGCTGTTCAGGATATAATGTAAAAAGTTACCCATTGTACCAAGAACCAGGAAAATCACAACTTGAAAGAAAAGAGACAATCAACGGATGCCAATACTGACACAAATCAGATGTTGAAAGTATTTCACAGGTATTCAAAAGCAGTCGTTGTAAAACTGCTTTAACAATGAATTACAAATTCTTTGACACAAATGGAAAAATTTAAATTTCAGAAAATAAATAGAAGTTATAAAAAAGAAACAATCAGAAATTATAGAACTGAAAAACCCAGTAACTGAAAAATTGTCAAGGTATTACATGTGCTCAATAGTACAGTGGAGCTGAGTGAGGACAGAACTGATAAGCTTGAGGAAGGACCCGAAGGCTTCACCCAGTCTGAACAACAGAGAGAAAATAAACGGAAAAACAAAAGAACAGAGCTTCAGGGACCTGTGTCAAAATAGCAACAAAAAAAAAAAAATCCAGCATTTGTAACATCAGAGTCCCAGAGGATTCTGTGGCTGAAAGAGAATTCAAAGAAGGAATGGCTGAAAACGTCTCAGATTTGGCAAAAAGACATAAACCTACACATTCAAGAAGTGAGCGAATCCCAAACAGGACACATCCAAAATAATCCACGCCAAGACATATCATAATTCAACTTCTGAAAACATTAAGACCAAAAAGAATTCTTAAACGCAGCCAAAGGATAATGACACATTACCTGTGGGGAAATACCAGTTTGCGTGACAGTGGATTTCTCTTCCTCTGACACTCTGGAGACCAGAAGAAAGTGACACGTTTTTCAAAGCTCTGAAAGGAAAAAAAATACCTGTCAGCCACAAATTCTATATCTGGCAAAACTATCCTTCAGGAATAAATGGTAAGTAAACCTATTGTCAGATGACAAGACACCAAAAGATTGTGCAGATAACAGACCTAATTTTAGAGAGTGGCTAGACAAGTTTTCAAGCAGAAGGGTAATGATGAAAGAAAGAATCTTGAGCATCAGGAAGCAAATACAATGGAAAGAGAACATATATGGGTACATACAATAGGCTATCCTATTCCTTAGGAGTGTCATCAATCATATTTGATTGAGGGAATGAAAAAGTATAAGACCAGTTCTCACTTGAGTCAATGAGGGGAAGGTAAAGGGGTCTCAATGGCAGTAAGGTTTTCACATGCCACTTGCAGTGGTAAAATGTTGACAGCAGTAGACGGCAATAAGTCACATATGTTCACTATAATACCCAGAGCAACCACTGAACAGGCTATTCAACGAGATACACTCAAACACATTATAAACACATCAAGATGGAATTCTAAACCTTGTGCAAGTAATCTATAGGAAATTACAAAAAAGAAACAGAAATGAGAATCGTAGGAAAGTTACAAAAAACAGAAAATAAAATGGCAGGCTTAAGCTCTAACATATCAATAATTACCTTACATGTAAGTAGTCTAAATATACTAATTAAAAGGCAGAAATTGGTTTAGAGATTTAAAAAGTGTCTCAACTATATGTTGCTTATAAGAAATTATTTCGAATTCAATGACAGGTACATTGAAAGCAAAAGTATAGAAAAAGATAGATGCAAGCAATAATACAAAAACAGAGGTAGCTGTATTAATATATGATTAAGTGGATCTCAAAGAAAATTACTTGGGACAAACAGGGATATTATATAATAATAAAAGAATCAATCCACTAGGAAAAATAACAATCCTAAATATGTGCACACCAAGTGATGGAGTCTCAAAATCCATGAAGCAAAACTAATAAAACTGAAAGGAAAAATAAACAATTCCACAGTTGTAGTTAGATATTTCATCAGCTTCTTCTCAGCAACTGATAGAATTTCTAGAAAGAAAATTAGCTAGAAGAGAGAAGATCTAAACAATGCAATTAGCCAATAGGATCTAATAGGTACATATAGAACATTCCACCCCACAACAACAGAATGTCAAATATTTTCAAGGGCTTTTTGAAAACATACACTATCCTGGACCATAAAACAGACCTTAAAAAATTTAAAGAGATTCAGCTGAGTGCGGTGGCTCACACCTGTAATCCCAGCACTTTGGGAGGCCAAGGTGGGTGGATCATGAGGTCAAGAGATCGAGACCATCCTGGCCAACATGGTGAAACTGTGTCTCTACTAAAAATACAAAAAATCACCTGGGTGTGGTGGTGCGCACCTGTAGTCCTGGCTACTCGGGAGGCTGAGGCAGGAGGATCACTTCAACATGGGAGGCAGAGGTTGCAGTGAGCCAAGATCGTGCCACTGCACTCCAACCTGGTGACAGAGCTAGACTCCGTCTCAAAAAAAAAAAAAAGAAAGAAAAAGTAAGGGGATTCAAATCATACAGATTATGTTCTCTGACCATAATAAAATCAAACCAGAACTCAGTAAGGTAAGGAAGTCAGGAAAATCTCTAAACACTTGTAAATTAAACAACACACTTCTAAATAATCCATTGGTCAAGAAGTAAGTTCCAAAGGAAACTTTAAAATATACACAGAACTGTGTAAAAATGCCACCAAATTTTAAAAGCAGCCCTTGAAAATAAAAATTTTTATAATGTGGGCTTATAAAATAATTTAAATGTATTTTATTATGTGATTTATTGGATGGTCAATACACAGCTTGTCATCTTTTAAATCAAAATTGTAGAATGCTGCTTTGAATTCCACAGTTTTAAGAGGTTATAGGATACTACATATTCCTGCATAAAAATGGTCTAATTTATTGAGAAGAGCCTATCTCTTATTTCACATATCCCAGGGACCGTGGTGGGGGGCAGGGAGCATGTGGTTGGGGTATAGGCCATGTTGCTCCTTTCTGTCTGCTCAGCTTTTAAAAGTCAGGGCCTTCCTCTTCTCCATTCACACTTTCTCCACAAGGTCTCCTCCAGTTTCACAGTCTTATATGCTGCCATGTGTCAACAAGTCTCCATTAGATGACTTTGGCTCTGGACTCCAGAGGCACTCATCCAACCACAAGCTTGACGCGTCCTCCTGGATGTCTAATGGGCATCTGGCCCACCCACAACAGGGCTCTCCATTTCACCTCCAACCTGTGTCTCCCTCATTCAGCCAGTCATTCAAGCTAGAATCCTGGCAGCCATCCTAGATTCCTCCTTTTTCCCTCACATCCGTTTAATATTCATAACACACATCAGCAAGCTCTGTGGACCCCACTGCTGTCCCTTCCTCTCCTTTCCACCTCCCTCCATTCCTTCCAGCAAAACTGCCTGATAGGGCTTGGCTCTGTGTCCCCACCCAAATCTCATCTTGAATTGTACTCCCATAATTTCCACGTGTTGTGGGAGGGACCCGGTGGGAGATAATTGAATCATGGGGGTGGTTTTCCCCAAACTGTGCTTGTGGTAGTAAGTCTCACTCGATCTGATGCTTGGATTAGGGGAAACCGGTTTCTCCTGGCCCTCATTCTCTTTTGCCTGCCCCCATCTGTGTAGGTTGTGGCTTGCTCCTCCTTGCCTTCCGCCATAATTGTGAGGCCTCCCCAGCCACGTGGAACTGCGAGTCCAGTTAAACCTCTTTCTTTTATAAATTGCCCAGTCTCGGGTATGTCTTTACGAGCAGCGTGAAAACTAATACACCGCCATCTTTCTGGTCTCCAGGAACGCAGCCACCTCCCACCTGCCCTCTTTGCTGCTGCTCTCCTCTGCCTGCAATCCACCCTCCACAAGGAAGGAAACCTTTTAAAACAGGTAAAGTAGATGACGCTACTCTCTGCCTACAAATTTCCAGTAGCTTCCCATCACACTTAACTCTTGTTTACTCATTTATCTCCTTCATCTAGAATGTGTATTCCATTAGAGCTGGTTCCTTTCTGTCTGATTCGCTCCAGTCTTCTCAGGACCTGGCCCTTAATGAGGGATTCCATAAGTATTTGTTGAATAAACAAATAAACAAACAGGGCTTGAGGAGGGTAGCAGCAGCCAGGATCGTGAAACAAACTGTCTTGGGAATCCGTATCAATGCACAATGACATGACTGTTATTCACATATATAATCTGATCACAACAATGTAAAAATAATGTGTGTATAGAAAGTGCCTGGAAGTTAATAAAAATGTTAGCAACATTTTCTTTAGGTGGTGGGCTTATGAGTGATTTTCCTTTGTCTTTCTTCTAAAATTGTATTCTCTAGGATTAGCATGAATATGTGGCCAGGCGTGGTGGCTCACATCTGTAAACCCAGCACTCTGGGAGGCTGAGAAAGGAGGATTGTGGCCAGGAGTTTGATACCAGCCCATCCCTGTCTCTACAAAGAAAAAAAAAAAAAAGTAGCAAAAATAATTTTATGATGGAGAGAACTTAAGGAGCTTTTTTTTCCCCCTAAGTTACTTATTGGGGTTTTTCCCCAGGCTGAATTATTCCAGTGTCTTTTAACTATTTCATTTCCTTACTCCTTAATCATCTTCTGGGCCCTTTGCAACAGAATCTCTGCCACTCATCACAACCCTCAACAAGTTTTCATTCAAACTTTAGTCCACAATATTCTGCAGATTTGAATATCCAAGGAAAATAATTTTTCTTTTCAAAGACGGTGTCATGGAGCAAATGTGCTCAAAAGTGGTAATAAAGTCCTGATTCTAGGAATGTCTCCTAAAGAGAGCTGGGAAGGTTCTGATGGGATGTAAAAACACTGGTAATTAATTTCTAAATGAATACCTAAGAAATCCTAATGAGTCTTGCATGTTTCCTCTTTTTATAAGTGGGGTTGAATGAGTTATGTTATTCACACTCTTCAAGTGTGAATCTTAAAGTAGGCTTAATTGTGTTTAGGCCGAGTACTATGAAAGCAACATGGTACTCAAAAACTAATCTAGGAAAATTAAAGAAACATATGTAGTGCTACAAATGTGAGCATTTTTCTTAAAAAAATAAATCAGATATCGTTGCCGGGTACATGAATATATATAGCCTTGCCCTGCATCAGGCAGTGACCCCAGTGAGGGTGGTGACATATTAATTTCAGAAATATGTGTCTGAGAGGAGAAACACAGAACATGTTTATGAGCAGTTCCACTCAGGGGCAGAGGTCCAAGCTGGCTTTGGGGGTGGTCTTGTGGCCACCTGGACAAGTCAGGTTTCTTGCCAGTTCTGGAACTGGCTCATTTCCAGGCATCATTAGATGAGGTTAAAATAGAGCGGGTGGGAGGAAGGGCAGGTCACGTTGTCTGGGGAATCCAAACAGAGTGGACCCCCATGAACACCAGAGCCAATCAGATCCAGGGTAGAGTCAGAACCTATCCACCTAGCAACTTCCTTCTCATGGCCATCAGCACCCACCATACATGAGGTCTGTTGGGGACCAGCCAGCATATGCCCCATGCTGCGAGGGGAAATAGCTCAACAGGCCAGAGTGGAAGAGGATTAAAGACTGAGGTGGTGCAGGCAAGCAGGGCCGAGGTTCATTTCTCACTATTGGTCCTGCAAGTTTTATCTGATGTGAGGCATCACCCTTGGATTGTAGAGGTGGCTGCCTGATTGGCTGGAGAAGACACTTGCCTGTGAAACAGAATTGTTCTTCAGTGCTCTCATCCAGTTAATGTCATCCCTATTGTGTCAAGGCAGCTAGAAAATTTCTTGGTTATGAGTTTTGAATATGGTTACAGACACGTAGCCGGGCTAATGGAGGCGTGTAATGGTACTTGTCTGACAGTGACTTACTCTCCACTCTGAACTTTAGGGTGTGAATTTGCGATTTATTTGCCTTCTGGCTATGTTTTGCTAACTAAAACATCGACTAAAAATGTGTGGATACTTCCCATGTATATATACGTTAAGGGGTGAGAAGAGCCAAGAAGCAGCGACCGGCCAGGAAGAGGAAACCAGGGCTAATCAAGATGTTCTCACTAAACTGCAATGACATGTTGTTCCATTTTCAAATTGACCAGTGTAAAAGTGGGCTGATGAAGTTCAGCACTGGTGAAGGTATAGGAAGTAAATGGACACCCAGGTACATTGTTGGTGCAAGTGTAAATCAGTACACCTTCTTGGCTTGCAACCTAGCAATATCTACGGAAATGTTTAAAGTTCTAATCTTTTAACTCTGTATTTCTGCTTCTAACATTTAAGCCTCTAAAGCCTCAAGAATGTTCCTTGGGGCTTTGTTTAAAGACTTTAAAGTATTAAAAACGTAAAAGTAACCCAAATGCACTCTGAAGAAGAAGATTAAATAAATGTTGGTACAGCCGAACGATGAAATATCGCACACATCTTAAGAATGGGTTAGACCTTCAGGTCCCTACTGACATGTAAAGTGAAACACACAAGCTCCGAACAGCATTGGCGGTATGAGTCCGCATCCAAAGTAATCAACAGCATCAGTAAGAGAGTTAGTAGCCGTGTAAAAAAAGAAGACAGAGAATTATGCACCAATTTTTGGCAGCATGTCCCTAGAAATGAGATTACGTACATTCTTGTAAGGTTTGGAATTTTATATAACTTTGCACCATGTAATCAGAATGAAAAGGCAGGGCCCATCTTAGTGTAGTGCTGAAACACACTTCCATTCAATGGCTATCTGGAGAGGTTATTCATGACATTTGTAAACGTGTGGGCATTCAAAGTGATATTTCACAGAGGCTCTAAGAGACAAATTTCCCATGTGAATAAACAAAGGAAGGTATGGGCAAGTCTATGTGGCAAGGTTTATTTAGATCCTCGAATCAAGAGTTGCAATTGGTTATGTGTCTTTGAACAACTAATTGGTAAGCTTCCCAGAGTCCTGGTTTTCTCATCTGCAATGTGTGGTTGGGCAAGGCAACCTTCTTAAGGACTTCTCCAGTTGAAATGGGCTCAGCCTGCAGGTAAGTGGAACTCAGGTAAATGATTACTTCTAGCAATGGAAGGTGCTGCTCATGTCTGCTAGGACGAGTGACCGAGAGCTAGCAGACCTCAAAGTCGGCTAAACAGACTTTCCCAGCTTAATGTAGCTAGGTGGCCTTTTCTCCTTCAGCACTGTCTTTCCTTCATCCCAGGTGGTCTCCTTCCCCATCTCTAGCTGACTGAAGAAAATTAAAGAGAAAGAGAGAGAACACGACTAAGACAGCGTAAAGAAAAACAAATGTATTAGGAAGAAGAAGAGATGAATGGTGAACGAACTGGGTCAGATAGGAGGCAGGGCAGTTAAAGATGAGTTACTGGAGGTGAAAATTACACTAACAAAAGTTTGAAAAACAAACGAAGGCCTGGCGAGGCGATGACTAACACAGCTATAGATCCGGGCATTGCAGGCCGTCCCAGAGGGCCGGCTCTACAACGTGGCCATTGATCCAGCCCAGGTGTGCACAGCCTCGGCCGCTCTCATTTCCCCTTCCTGCCCACAGCCTCCCCGCTGCTCAGGAAGCTGTGCAGCCCTGGCTGTGCATGCAGAACTCAACTGCAGGTCAGGAGCCTGGGGAGCTGGGGGCTCCGGGCCCTGTTCTCACTGTAAGAGCAGCTTTTGTGGCAAAGGCAAGTTCACAGCCGCTGAGTCTTCTGAGGCACTGCAGAGCTTACGCCTTTACTGCCAGCCGGGGCTGGGCCCAGGGAGAATGATGACGTCATCGAGGATATTAGAACCACCATAATGTATTTCCTGGGTATTTTATGCCAGCCTTACCTGCAGGTAGGTATGACGAGAAGCACATCAAGCAGATGGGGAGGTCAGATGACTTGTCCGAGTCACCCAGCCAGAAGTAACAGAGTCAACATTCAAACCCAGGTCCGCCTGGTTTCTCTTGCTCTGATATCACTGCCTTTGATTTTTGCCTTTGGATCTTTCCAGACCTATCTCCCACCGCTTCCTCCATCCCACTGAGTGTGCCCCATGGCTTTCTTGTATGCTGCAAGCCTTCCAGTCAGAAAGCCGGACCTGGCAGTGAAGGTGTGGACAGACCTTAACTCGTGGAGGTTAAGAGCCACGACGGTCGGGAGCTTACCGGAAATGGCTTATCGCTGCCTCTCCTGGGCATGACTGCGATCTGGGTGAGATTCCAGGAGACCAAGCCAACTTTAAGATGCCAAGGGGCAAGTCTCTAAACACCGGTGTTCAGACTGTTTCAAGTCTGAAAACATCGGTGGGTGAAGGGTAGGGAAAGAGCTCGGAGGGGCAGGAGGAGAGGAGAGAGGGGAGAACGAGAGGCCTTCCTCAGTCTCTCAAATAATGTATCAGAGTCAGCTGTCTCCACAGCCGTTATGAGTTGAAGTGCAGCCTCCAAAATTCACAGGTTGAAGTCCTAACCCCTGTACCTCAGAATGTGACCATATTTGGAAATAGGCCTATTGAGATCACACTGGATTAGGATGGGCCCCTAATCCGTATGACTTCATACAAAGGGGAAATTTGGACACAGACCCACACACAGAGGGAACGCCGTGTGAACATGAAGACGGCTACCTACAAGCCAAAGAGAAGGGCCTGGAGCAGATTCTCCATCACAGCCCTCAGAAGGACACCTGCTGACACCTTGGTCTCAGGCTTCCAGCCTGCAGAGCTGCAAGAGTACACCTCCCTGTAGTTTCCGTTGCTCAGTTTGTGGTACTTTGTAAAGGCAGCCTTAGCAAACGAATGCAATCGCTCATTTCCAAGTCCTTCTAAGAGAAACCTGTGCCGTGGACAACAGTTCTCAGGTGTAAGAGAACTGCTAGGGCAAGATTCTAGATGGCTTCAGCATTTCTAGAATTACTTCTAATTATTACACCTTATAGTACAGCAAAGGCAGAGTGCGATTTCAGCTCAAAATCACCCTGGGTTTCCTGTGACACTTCCCTCACTTCTCAGGAAACCTTCCAAGAACCATCCATGGAGAGGGGCGCTGTGTGTCCCGTACGAAATAGTTGTCTTTACTGACAGATTTCAAATAAGCACACGAACAAACACCTTAGGGAGATGAACCTCAAAGCACAAGGTTCCAAACTATTAGATGATAATTATACTAAATGCTTATTGATTACACTTAACCATGTTTTAGTCTTCTATATAATTGCCACTTGGAAAGTCTATGCATCTGACAAAATGATCTAATTTTTCCACTTAGCATTCTTACATTTTTGTATCATACTGGGAAAGAATGTATCTGTAGAATGTGGGCTTCAAAACAAATGGAATCAAACAAAGATGTTCTTTGTTTAAGGAACATATTCTAAATTAGGGCCATGAGAACATGCACAATTTTGTGGCAATTTTGCAAAACACGGTTTACTTTGATGACTTGATAAAACCCCGCACTGTATCTACAGACATTTCTGATTTTTCTGTAATCAGATATGCATTTTGCTGGGTGGAAGTATAAACACGAATTCCTTTCTGTATGTTTTCTCATGTCACCCAGCAGCCAGCAGGCGGTGAGAAGGACGTGAGCTCACCAAAGGTGAGGCTTGCGTTTAATTTGCTTCGTGCAGCACTAACATGGTACAGTGCGTCACACACACAGACTCTGAATATTTCATTCATTCATTCAACAAACGCACACTGCCCTCCCGTTACTGTGTTCGGCACTCGATGGTGAGGAATCCCACGGGGCAGACAAGCAACTCCTAGGAGGAAAGGACCGCGGAGCTGTCTTCGCCCTCTAGGCAGACGTAGTCTAGATATGGGAACCTTCACAGCTTAAGATTATGGGAGGCAAAACTCATCAGGTCCGTTTTCTGTTTGTTCTCTGGGGACCTGGAAGGTCTGGGTTGATGACAACAGTAAACACTCAGGTCTTGTTGGGCCTCTCCTAAAAACCTTAGCCCTGGGACAGAGAGGAAAGCTGTCACACAGACTGTCTTTTCTAGTTTACTGCTTTTGACTAAAATAACAACATTCATTCTGACATAATGACCGCACCAATTAGACTTAATTAGACTTAGGCCAACACCCCCCCCCCACCCCTTCCACACACACACACACAAAACAAAAAACAAACAAAAAAACTCTGATGGAATAAGAGTTCTTTAATGTAGCGGTGGGAACGGAAACCTCCTCAGGAGTCCCTGCAGTCATTATCTACCGTCTCCCAGGGGCTGGGTGACAGGTGCAGTGCAGGGCAGATGTCCACGGGGGCATGAGTGTCACAGAGCTGTGGGCCTCCCCTCCACCAACCTCTTCCCTAGATGTGTCACCTCCTTTCTTACGATGCACCCCAGCACTATCTGCTGGGGAAGGGGGTGGGTGTCCAACAGGGAGAGCTGACCAGCAAGGCCCCGGGCAACAGGACAGGCCGAAGCCATCTAGAATCTCACTCAGAGTGGAAGCCCCTGAGGGCAGGGCCTCTTCCAGCCAGCTGTGCCCGTAGCACATATACATTCAATGAAAGAAGGGCTGCATCCAATTCCAAGGACATTAAAACCCTTCTTGTAACAGTCCTGGTCCTTTCTTGGGGTGTCCATATGGAAAAGGGGTTCCTCCAATGCAACCCCCGAGAGTGCGTGTGGGAGACCTAGAGTGAGGTGTAGGGTTGTTGTCACAGTTTCTTGGGGCCCTGAGTTACACATCGATAGACCAGGGCAACTTTAAAGACCAACTAAAATGGAGGTTGCATAGAAAGTAATTTTGAGTAATCGTTGAAAAAATACAAATGTCACTGCAGTATGGCCAACAGACACAAGTATTTATTCTGTTTTGTTTTTTAATTGAAACTGTCGGCAAAGTTAAAAAATCCCTTTTTCTCCCTGGCCACTGCCTAAAGACTGAATGAGGCCCGCCCTGCATCCACTGCAGATGCTGGCAGAGCGGCAGCGGCTCCCTGGGGATGTGATTAGTGTCCAGGGTTCCTTAAAGAGAGGGAGATGTGAGGAGCTGATTAGGACTCAGATCAGAGGCCAGGCCCAGGCTGTCTAGAGCTGACTTCGCCAGGTAAATAAAAGGGCAGTCACTGCAGCCCAGGCACATTCTCAGGTCCTGCGGTGGAAAAGTGCAGAGCTGCACCCACGGGATGCATGGCCTCCTGTGGCAAATGTCTGTAGTCCCCAGACACACGGGATGCTTTGTGCACAAGATATTTCATTATTTGACGTCACTTAGCATGCCCTCCTAATTCTCACATCCTTAGCCCTCAGGCATTGGCCAGTGTGGAGCTAGCGTTGAGTGGGGATGGATCACAGCCGGGGCCTGCTTCTCTGTTCCCCCAACATTTCCTGGGTGACACCCCTCTGTATGGGAACACTGTCCACTGGTCAGTAGTGACCTGTATCAAACAACAGCAAAGCCGTTGGCTCTGTGGCTTTAAATGAATAACCTAAATGACCTCTCAATAATGGCTAACAGTTACTGACTTCTTTCTCTGTGCCAGGGCTGTGCTTAATATTCATTATTTCACAGCAACCCTACGACGTTGTTATCCTCCTTGTTATACAGGTAGGAAAACTGAGACATAGGATTTTAGTGCCAAAGGTCACACGAGGAGTACACAAGGTAGCCGGGCCTCAGATGTTTTTATCTTATCTCCGGAGCCTAAGCCTTGACTCCTTCACACTGTCACAGCTGACAAAGCCCCTTGTTTTCCTGCCCGCCAAGGGTCAGCACAGTCTGTCGGGTTGTACAAAGTGTTCCTCAACCTCATACAAATTCTCTGTTCCTTGGGTATCAACCCAACTGTATCTAAAAGCCCATCTTCCAGTTAGCTTGCAGGGACTGAGGGGCCTCTCCTGGGAATGTCTATCTGCGGTAAAGACTAAACCCTGCCGCATAAATCTTGTCCGGGAAAAGAAAAGAACCTGGGTTGTGCAGGGGTCGAGTTACTCCAGCTGCCGGGACCTCCTGCTCACAGACTCCCGGAGATCAGAGGGGAGCCAGGCCAATCTGATTCTTGGCCCGGGGTGGTGGGGGGGGGCCTGTTTGAAGTGAATCTTCTCAGGTTTCCAAGGAGGGCAGGTTGGCTGGGGAGCTGGGAGGGCTGAGACCCAGGGATGAATTCTGCACTGTGTGACTCCTTAGAGAAGCTTCAGGCTCTGCAGGCTGGATAGCCAGCCAGGCTCCTTTCTCCCGCAGGTAAGGGAGAGGTCCTCTTTCTCCCCGTGTGTTATTCATACTCTGCTCACGCTGCCGCCTGCCTGCTCAGGTGGGAAGAGGGGCGAGCACAGTTCTTTTCCTGCAGAGTGAGAGTCAGAAAAGGCAAGGGATGCCCCTCAACCCAGGTTATCTGAGGGAGGCATTGACAGAGCTGAGAGCCCACAATACAACGTCTGGGTCCTCATCCTGGTGTCAGGTAGGGGCGGGGGACTCAGCCCCAGCTCAGCCTGGAGGCTGCCGTCACTACTCTCTCTTTCCTGCAATGTAATCAGATTTAATAAAACATGAATATTGTATAATAAATACTGCCTTTTCATAAATCTGCCTGTGACATCAAGTGGCATGCTAGAAAATATTATGAAATATGTCTCAAAATCTATTACAGCCTCCTCTGAGCATTTTATATAAATCTTTACCTGCAAGAATAGTTCAGGGATAGAATCTGGACTCCACGGAAGACCAGAGCCTTTTCTCCGTTACAGTGACATATTATTAGCATAACATTTTAAAAAATGCAAACTAGCCACTGGAGTTCGTTCCCAAGCCCTGCACGACTTCCCTAAGAAACAACACGTTTTCCATTCACACGAACAATAGCTGCCCTGGTCCTCGGCCCTGCACCATGCTAGCCCCATCGTCGGCAGCAACCCAGCTCCTGGGGTCAATGGTGTCCCCTCCTACCAACTCCTGAGGGCTGGCTCCCTCCTCCCTCCGCCCATCCTTCTGAGAGGACCCAGTCTGTGCCATGCGCTTCCCACCCTCCGCCATGGCCCTCTTGTCTTTAGTGACCAGGGAGTGATGTGCAGAGCTAGTTCATCGCACTGTGGGTATCCTCCTTCACACACGCCCATCTTTATCCCCTAATCTCTTCCTCCTTCTCATTCTCTTGCAACTCAAAGGAGTTTCTCCAGGAAAATCTCTATCTGTTTTCAATCCCTCTCTTCCTTCTGTTTGGGAGCTAAATATTAACCAAAATTAGGTGGCGAGCAATGTGGATGTGGTGTTGGTGATCAAAGTGTATTGAGGAAAAGCACACGCCCGTGTTTGGCTGGGGAGGTCACTGCAATGATGCTCCTGGGCCTTCCATTTCTAAAGCTCTGAAAGAGACCCAGAAGCAGCTTTCAGTCTGAGCGCTGTCTCTAATGACCTCATTCCATTTCTCCAAGGAAGCCTGCTTTCCTCAAGCACCAGCATCCACGATGAACATTAAACATACTCTTCTACTCCAGATGATTCCTTTTCTGTTGACTTTCAGTGCAAGAGCCTTGATGTTTTCCTCAGGGCAGTTTATTCAGAAGGGGGTTCTGGTTGTTTGTGGACTCGACTACAAGCTCTGCCAGTCATTGTTTATTCATAACACTTTTTTTTTTTTTGAGACGGAGTCTCCCTCTGTTGCCCAGGCTGGAGTGCAGTGGCGCGATCTCAGCTCACTGCAAGCTCCGCCTCCCGGGTTTACACCATTCTCCTGCCTCAGCCTCCCAAGTAGCTGGGACTACAGGTGCCGCCACCTCGCCCGGCTAATTTTTTGTATTTTTTTTAGTAGAGATGGGGTTTCACCGTGTTAGCCAGGATGGTCTCGATCTCCTAACCTCGTGATCCACCTGTCTCGGCTTCCCAAAGTGCTGGGATTACAGGCTTGAGCCACCGCGCCCAGCCCATAACACTCTTTCTATGGAGAATTGTGGTCTAAACACTGACCTGTTCCCCATGGTGGTCCACACTTGTGTGGATAACATCTCTTATAACTCAACCCAGCTCCTGCGGCCTCACCACTGCTGCAGGAACCAGGTCCCATCTGGTGACAACCAGCTTCACCCCGGAGTGAAGAACTGACAGGACCCTGCCTCAGGACCTCCCTGTGATGCCCAGGTGTGGGGCACCTGAAACCGTTTCACATCCCTGTCACCTGGGAGTGCAGCAGAGTTCATACCCTGGGAGGAGCCACTTGACCTGTGAGGCATGAGCGGGGAGTCAATGTGCTCCCTGGTTTCTCAATTGGGTTCAGAAGATTCTTGAGAGCATCTATGACCCGTTGTAGTGCCCAATGCCATAATGCCTCTCCTCCCTGCCCTCTCTCCTGCCCCTCACTCCTACTGTTGAGGATTGCATCCCTGAATAAACCTCAATCCCATCACCCTTGTCTTGGGATGTACTTTAGGGGAAATCAGGCTGAGACTGGGTGTTTCTGTGTTTTCTGCTATACGCTCGTAGCCCATGGAGAACCAGGCAGGAACGTGGCTCCTCAGAGCAGCTCTCTGTAAGTGCAGCAGTCGCTTCATTTGGCTCCTCTGGGCGCCCAAACTAGAACTCTACTCATGACAAACCCCAGAAGAGTTTTAATTAACATGAGTGTCCCTAAAGACAATGAAAGGAATAGTTAGTCTTTGCTCTAGAGTGAAGACAAAAGGCAGTTTGTCATCCAGTTGACTTACATAACATAAAGCCAGCCGTAGGTAATGCAGAATGATTCTGATACTAATGTTCAATTCCTCACACCAGCAAACATGAGAACATCATTCACTGCACATGGAACAGGTGCTGTGTCTGTTCTGAGCTGGTCCAGACCACCTGTATTTCTCATTGCCTGGGTCTGCCTTTTCTCCTCTCTAGATTTTACTTATCCTGCAAAGCTTGTGCTGGGATGTCATTTCTAGGATCGGGTTTAGGCTGAGCCCCAGGGGTCTTATTGGCGGGACTGTGGAGAAGGCTTGATCCCCTGCAGTACTCTCTGGAAAGTGCCTTCCTCCGTCCGGAATCCCTGAGCTGGTGCCCCCTGCAGCCTGCACAGCTCTGGCCTCTCACCGTGGGTCTCACGGCCTCTGCTGCCAAAACTAGAGAGGAAGTTCATGCCCTCCCTCTGTGTAGAGAAGAGTCACTTGCTGACTGGGTGCGAGCCAAAAAGGGACTCCCCACAGAGCAGGAACAGCTGTCCCCTTGCTTCTTGCACTCAAATTCCCTCCATCGGCCGCGCTGGGGATGCACTGTCGGCCACCTCCTGCCTGATGTGGCCTGGGCTGCCCAGGAGATGAGGCAGCTGTCCGAGGTGGGTGTTGTGTGCTCAGACCTCCAGAAACCGGCGAATGAGGCCTGATGGAAAGAACGTGAGGTGGCAGTGGAAGGGAACAAGAGTGGGGAAATCTGTCCAGGCAGCCTCCTGCACCCCCGGGCTCTGGAGACAGCCTTCATCAGAGGCTGGAATGTCAGGTGGGGTGAAGAGAGAAAACGCAGTGCTGGCCTGGCCCTCTTGCAAACACTCCAGTTTCGCAGGCTGAAGAGGGTAGGTTGTGAATTGTTTCTTCAGGAATAGAGAAACCCAGACACCAAGACCTGGAGGAGGCAGGAGGCTATGCTGCATCTCCCCCACTTCTGGAAAGCACTGTGTGGGGTTCCCTCACCCCATAGACCAGGCCTGGCTTGGGTTCTCTGAGAGACACTGACTGAAGGCCGGAGGGGGTGGCCTGGCTCTTTCAAAGCAGAAGCAGGATGTGGCCTCAGAGTGCCACCTGGAGGCAGAGGCGGTCTAAACACGCAGAGATGCAGGCGCGGGTGCCCCAGGGACAGAACTATCTGGACAGGGTCTACCCTGCCCTCTGTCCCCACCTTCATTCCAACCTCACACCTTCAGCCCTGAACAGGCTCCAGCGGGGCCAGGGCCCTTCACCCACGAGGGCCCAGGGATCATCTGGACGCAAGGAGAGCCCAGCAGGCCCTGCGCTCTGTCAGCTCTTTCTGGACTTTTGGTTTTGGTTATTTTCTTCACATTCTTACCAAATGTTTCCCAGCCCCACACATTATTAGATCTCAAGGAGGAAATGCTTATTTTTATGAACTAAATCAGCATAGAATAAGTAGGAAATCTCTATTTCTTAACTCAAATCTTATGACCTCCCTTGGTTTTTCTTTTGAGGAATCTACACTGTATCCAGCTAGGTGCATGTGTTGCTACTTCCCCAGCATAATCATGGCCAACTCGGAAAACACGATTGTGAATCCCTGTTTCCTAAAGCGTTCGCAGGTGCTTTCTAAATCTGATAGGTCCTCTCCCCAGGAGAAATTTAATGCACCCGTCTCCAAACTAACTTAAATACAGTTTCAAAACATTGATGAATCACTCCTCTCCCCGTTTCATCTGTGGATAGATTAAAAGTCTATCTCTGGGCTGGGCACGGTGGCTCATGCCTGTAATCCCACCACACTGGGAGGCCGAGGCAGCCAGATCATTTGAGGTTAGGAGTTCGAAACCAGCCTGTCCGACATCTGACTGTAACTGTGTAAGAAGCCCTGAGTGGGAACCACCTATGTAAGCCCAGTCAGCCAACAGAATTATAGGAAATAATAATAAGTTATTGCTTTAAACCACTGAGTTTTAGAATGATTTGTTACAACACTACAGAAAACTGGATAAAGGTGGTTCCCACTCAAGGCTTCTCACACACTTACAGTCAGAGGGTGTCTGGGGCTGGAACCATCAAAGGCTCCTTACTCACTTACCTGGGCTCTGCTGGGGTAGCAGGAACAGCAGGGGACTGGCTGGGTATCACTCTCTGCACGCTGCCTTTCCGTGAGGCTAGCTTGAACTGAATTGCTATTGGGTTTTCAGTTAACCGAGGGAAGGAACCAAGAAGAATTTGCAGGGGGGTCAAAACTAATTTAGGTTGTATCCCAGGGTGGCTCCCTCATCACAGCCTTGGTGGTCATTTCTCTGGTCATATCTTTCCTTGAGCTCTCTAAAAGAAAGGCCTTCCTGTTTTAGGAAGGGTGAAATCCCATCTCTACTAAAAATACAAAAAAAAAAAAAAATTAGCCGGGCATGATGGCATGCACCTGTAGTCCCAGCGACTTGGGAGGCTGAAGCAGGAGAATTGCTTGAACCTGGGAGGCGGAGGTTGCAGTGGGCCAAGATTGCACCACTGCACTCCAGCTTGGGTGACAGAGTGAGACTCCATCTCAAAACAAAACAAAACAAAACAAAAAAAACTCTCTGTCTGTCCTATGCCTGAGGGTGAGGTATTGCAGCTGGTCCTGAGGAGCTGGTTCTAAGATGGTTTAAAAGCTGTATCTGAAGGAGGTCTGAGGGTGCAGTCTAGGCCTTTGCACATGCTGTTCCTCCACTTAGAATTCTTTTCCACTCCTTTATCCAGTTATCTATAGTGGTAGAAAAAAATTATTCTAAAACTCAGTGGTGTAAAGCATCGCTTACTATTATTTCTCATAATTCTGTTGGTTGACTGGGCTTATATAGGTGGTTCCCACTGGGGGTTTCTCCCGCAGTTATAGTCAGAGGGTGGCTGGGGTTGGAACCA